AGTGAATTTTCTGTTGAGCCCTGCTGTTCTCCCTCACCTCATAATATCCTGGTTTGTAGTCATGTGTGGATCTGTGTAGTGTGGTACATGCCTCCTTGCAGGACTGTGGCCTTCAGGAGGGCAGGAACCAAGCCGGTCTTGCCCATCAGCAAATCTCCAGAACTTTCCGTGCTGCCCGGCACACAGAATGCTCAGTAAATATTTGTGGAGTGATTAAGGGATGTTTTTGGATGGCAGAGGGATCCAGAGAGGTGAGGACTGGCTTTTCTGGCCCCCTACCCCCGTGCCCTTGAATGCTCTTGATCTTCAAGATTTCCAGAGCAAGGAGCGGGGCCCGGAGACCTCGGTTCTAACACAGATGGTACACGTGTAGATGTGTGACCTCCATCAGTCACTTTCTGGTGTGCACCCTGATTTGGAAGGAGATGGTGTCCTTGTCTTCTGACCAACACCCGGGCCCCTCGGACAGGCCTTGGATGAGCCTGGCAAAGGCTCATTCTTGGCGAGGAGTGACCAGCTATCCCTGAGGGCACCTGCCCCTCTGGCCGGCAATGGGCACCTGCTTGGTGTTCGAGCTGCAGGCAAGAAGCAGAGCCCTGGGTCCCATTTTCCCAGGTCTGCTCTCTTTCCGTAGGTCACTTGAGAACGCTCCTGACACGGTGCCGAGGGACAGCTGTGGGCGTGCTGGGGGTCACTGTAAGTTTATGGCCTGCAGGCCGACTGTCGTCCCTGAGTTTAGCAGAACGTATTTGAGATCGAGCAAGCGAATGGAGGCACCCTGATAGTTGCAGCTCTCCCCAAGAGCTAAGCTCTGGCCTGAGTGCTGTGCGTAAAGGGTCTCTCTGCAGCCAGCTCCGAGGCCCCGCCTCTGCTTGACTGCACGAATTCAGGGAATTGGAATGTCTCCCTGGCAGCACGCAGTGACTTTTGTTTTTTTCCGTGTTTCGCACCAACTAAGGGAACTTCGCATTGCTGTCTGGTTTGGGGATCCTCCCCTTTTCTGACTTTGACCCCAGTTCCTGGAATCTTCACGTGAAGAGCAGCAGGAGGTGGGTGGAGGCTTTGTGGGGAGCTTCTATAGCTGAGTGTCAGCCTCAGGGTCAGGCAGGCCGCAGGCTGTCCCACAGCACGTCACTGGGCACCTTTGCCCTCAGGGGGGTTGCCGCACGGTCGACACTGCAGGAGAAGCTGCACCCCCCCCCCCCCCCCCCCCCCCTGCTTTCACTGACCTCAGCTCTACCCAGGGCACCACCCTTGTTGGCCAGGTCTGCTGTCCAGGTTGAAGGAGGTTGTTGTGCATTAATTCACTCAACAAACATTTCTTGAGTACCTACTGTGTTCCAGCCTCTCAGCGAGGCACTTTGTGGGCACCATTATCTCATTTAATCCTTGTAACAGTCCCCTGTGTGGCGGGGATTCTTGTGGTTCTCCTGAAGAAGAGGGCGCCAGGGACCAGAGCAGTGGAATCAATCTTACTGTCACAGCGAGGAGGCAGAGAGTCAGGACCCAGCCAGGTTTGATCCCAGAGGTCACGCTCGTCAAAGCAATACCTGGGGCACGATGGTGGCACAAGGGGGCACCTGAGGACCCCCACCCACCACCACAGGGCCAGAGACTGCTTTAGAGCAGGGGTAGCCCTGAGTACCACGGGTCCCCCATTTCCCACCGGGCAGGTGGCCCCTCTCTGGGAGCAGGATGGAGGCAGGGGTGGGCTCACCACTCAGGGCGCCCTGCGTGGTTCCAGTGCCAAGGGTCAGGAGCAGTGTGAAGAGGGAGTTTGGGAATTCTTTGTAGGGCCAGACTGGGGGCCGCATCGGAGTTACCTGTTCCAAAGAGCCCCGTTACTGCGTTGGTGAGCCCCGGTTTAGATCTTGTTCAAGTTGGTAATGAAGGAGGACCCGTGCTTGGAACCAGCTCCCTGTTTGGGTCCGCATCCCGGATCCGACTCCACCCCTGGACAGCGGGATCAGGGCAAAACCGTTTCGTGGTTGACACCACCCCCCAGTCTCCCTGCCCCCCGACACGGCCAGTCCAGCCTCTCTGCTGCCTTCCCACAGCCCCAGGCAGCGCCTTCTTCCAGCTGTGCCGTTAAATGCGAGGGGGTGGGCTGGACCCCCTGGCCTGTGGAGGGAGAAGCAGCCTGCCCCTGGGGAAGAAGACCTGGACACACCTTGGGTCCAATCATGGAGCTTCTGGACTTCGAACAAATCGCTCTACATCTTTGAGCCTCAGTTTCCTCATCTGTAAAATGGGGCTGATCCCGCCCCCTCGTGGGATGGCCCACCCCCTCGTGGGGCTGGCAGGAAGACCCGGATTTCCGTCGCCCCCTCGCAGGTGGGGAGAAGAGAGAGCAGCTGCAAGAGGCGTATCTTGCTTGGGGAAGGCGGTGCATTGCTACGGGGCGGGGGAGGGTTGGGACTGAAGGGTTGGTTGCTTTGAGAGCTCAGCCAGAGCTATGCTGGGCCATGTGGTGCAGGCCTCTGGGTCCCCTGGGACGCTTGCAGGGCTTGTGTTTCAGGAGGGCCTCAGACGCTGCCTGGCCAACTTGCCCTGCCTTGATTGGGTGGGCTGAGTATTTTTAGCTCTGAGTTTGCAAAGGTTCTTTTCTGCCCAGACCTCTCTTGTGGGACAAAACAGACGGTGCCCTCCCTGAGAGAGGCAGAGCTTGGGCCTGAAGAAAGGGACTGGAGCCAGACTGGACCCTAGTGGGCTTTGAAAGGGAGGCCTCCTCTGCTCCCCGTGGCCTGCTGGCCTACGCAGCGGTGCTGGGCCTCGCCCTCTGTGGCCACAGCTGGAAGCTGCCTGCCCTTCCTTGGAAAGCTGAGTGCGCGCCCAGGTCGCTCACCTGCCTGCGCGGGGAAGGCCCGTGTGTGCACCTGCCTGCCAGAGGGGCCAAGGGGGGCGGCCCTTGGGGCCCTGGGGTCCTGTCCCCTCTCCGGGCCACATGCTTCTGACTCATCAGAACAAGAACATGGTCTTTTTGGGAGTGAGTTTTTAAAAATAGTCTAAGTCCTTCCTTCAGCTCTGCCCCACCCCTCTCTGATCACACCCTGGCATTGGCCCCAGACCTCTTCCCACACTGGTTTTGGGGAACCGCCTCTTGCCCAGCTTGGCAGTGGATCTGTTTGTGAAGCTCTCCTGGGAAGAGCTGTCCTGGCCACAGGCTGATTTCAGGGAGGAGGAGCCGCAGCCCCAGGAGTGGGGGCCCCACGCCGCCCCTGGTGGTGGTGGTGGGACAGAGCCTGGGGCCGGCGTGGGACCAGGGATCCCTTCATTCATTTGGCAGGTGTGTGTTGAGGTGTGCTGGGTGCCAGGCACCGTTCCAGGGCTGTGGAGAGAGCAGTGGACAAAATGCTAAGGCTCCTGCCTTTGTCGAGTGCACATTGTAGCAGGAGGAAACTGATAGAAACAACGGAAACGTCCAGATGTCCAGAGGCATTAAATGCTAGGAAGACAGGGCAGCGGCGTGATGAGGATGTGTGTGTACTGTTTTAAAGAGGATGGATGGGGAAGGCCTGTCTTTGAGCAGAGCTCTGAAGCAGGTGACAGAGCCATCCATGCATATGTCGGGCGGAAGAGCTTTCCAGGCAGAGGAACAGCAAGTGCAAAGGCCCTGAGGTAGGGGCGTGTGTGGGTGTTTGAGGAGCTGCACCAAAGTCGTTGCGACTGGAGTAGAGTAAGCTATGTGGGGAGAGGTAGGATCTGCAGTCTGGGAGGTCATGGGGGGCACACCGTGTAGAGCCTTGTAGGCCAAAGTGAGGACCCTGGCTTCCACTCTGAGGTAGGAAAGCACTGGAGGGTTTGGGCAGAGGCATAACTGGGCTGCTGTGTGGAGAACAAAGTGCGTGGGGTGGGGGGTGAAAGTGGAAACGGGAGACCAGTCAGGGGCTATTTTAATGGTCCAGATGAGAGGAATGACGGTTTGGCCCAGGGTGGCAGCAGGGGAGGTGGCGAGAAGGGGTCAGAGTCTGGACGGATTTAGAAGGTAGAGCCAATAAGGCTTGCTGAGGGATGGGACGTGGGGGTGAGAGAGAGGGGCAGTCAAGGTGAGGCGGAGGCTTGAGCCCCAGCCCCTGGCAGGCTGGTGCGGCCATCAGGTGAGCTGGGAGGCTGGGAGGAGTCGGGGAGTGGCCAGGGGTTGGTGTGGACGTTGACTTGGGATGCCCGGCCGACCACGGAGCGGACATGCCGAGGAGACATGTGCGGAGAAGCCTGGATGGAGTTCAAGGGAAGGTCAGGCCAAGGTGTCACTGCAGAGAGGGTGTCCAAAACCACGAAACAGGCAAGGATGTACCCTGGGAGGCATCTTCAAGTCAGGTCAGAGTCCTGAGCCCAGGAGTGGCCCCCTGGTCCTGCGGGAGGAAAGGGCGTGGGGTGGGTGCCCTCCCAGAGGGAGGGGAGCAGACAGAGGGTTGCAGGAAGGGAGAGATGGGGCCCAGGCACGTTCACTGGCTTTGGCATCTTGGAGCAGTGGGGGCGGATACCCCCCCAACCTAGATAGTTCAGCAGAGAATGGGGGGATCCTGGACAGGGGGTGCAGGCAATGTTTACACAAGGGGAGCAGGGGAATCTGGTGGTGGCTTGAGCCCATGTGGGATTGGTGAGGTTTTTGGGTATTTGATCCTTAAGAAGAGCGGTCATGCGCCATCTTTACGTTGGCCAGGAATGATGGGGAGAGAGGAGCCGAGGTGTCTCTTGGCTGCCTCACCTTCTTCCCAGAAAGACACCCCCCTCCTCACATCCCCCCTCCTCCGCCAGCCCCCAGGTTCCTCCTGGCATCAGCTCAGAGTCCAGGGTTCTTCCTGTTGTGTAAGTGGAGTCCGTGCGTCTAAGAGGGGTGGTGCCAGCATTTCCCCATCTGAAGGCCCGCGGGCTGAAGAGACATGGGTCTCTGAGCCCCTGGGGTGGGAAGTAGGAGGCACATGGCCCGTATGGGGCAATGCTGGAGTCCAGTGATGTGAAGCCTTCCCCCTGACCTAACCCCAAATTCTCTGCTTGTGGAAGCCAGTCCACGCAGCCTGCGGAGGGGGCAGCAAGCAGCCCCCACAAAGAGGGGGTTGCTTGCTGGGTACAGTGGGAGCCGGGGTGCCTCCCTCAGCTCCAGCCCCTGGAGCCCTGTGGGAGGGTGAGGGCCGAGAGCTAGGGCTGCCGGGTGTGGAGGGGGCCGTGGTGGTAGGTCAGCTTCCATCCGCAACCTCTGGGGAGCACGGTACTGAGTCTCCTTGCCGCTGCCTGTTGTGTGGGAATGAGCCGTGCCTTCTGGTGAGTTCCTGCCCATGCCAGGCAGCGTTCCTTACCTTATTCATTCCTCCTCCTAACCCGAGATACCTCCCTCCCCCTAGTGCAGACACAGCTAAGCATGTTCTAGCAAGTAGTGGGGCCAGGATTGGAATATGGTTTGACCCCAGAAACCCTGCCCTGGACTGTGATCTGGAAAGAAACGCAGGCCCAGAGTCCACTGGGCTCCCGGTCAGCAAAGCAGGCGAGGCCACCCATACTTTGTGCTCCTGGAGTGTCCTGCGGGCCACCCCCTGCTGGGCAGGTACACCTACAGACCTCCTGTCACTTGCTGCCTGAGGACAGGAACTTGGGCCTCTCCTTGGGTCCTTTGTTCCCGGGCTGAGCTGGGGCTCTGCGGGCAGTAGGCACACAGTGAAATTGAGTGGGGGCAAGGATGGGCAAGTGTCCTCATCGTGCAAGCTGCTACAGGTGAGTCTGACCCCCTGGAGGTGAGTGAGGGGGACTTGGAATCCCAGAGAAGCGGATGCCCCCGGGCTGTGAGTCCCCCTGGTCTCACTGAGCCTGAAGGCCACCCAGGGACTTTGGGTGCTCCTGGGGCAGCCACCTGATACCTGGGCATCTGGGGGTGAAGCAGTCAGGCCTCAGCCCCCCTCTCCTCGAGGCTTTAGGTCAGCTTGCAGAGTGGCCGGGAGTCACCCTGGCAATCCTGGCCTCTGCCCTTGGCATCACCTGCGTGCTGGGGGTGGGTGGCTGGGATGTGCCTCTTGCCTGCTCCCCCCACCCCTGCTTTCACCTGCAGGCTTAGCCGCCTTCCTGGGGAGGTGCCCTTGCCTGGAAGGCCCGGCTCTTCTGGACTCTCTGCCCCTGCCTGGGCTTTTCCTGCAGCCTGCGCATTCCTTCCTTCGCCTGCATCAGCTCTGTCCAGTTGCATGGAGTCAGACACACCTTCCTTTCCTGCTCCTGCCTTGTGCTTCTGGCGACTCGAGGCAAACCCTTTGCCAGTCTGAGCCTCAGCTTCCCATGTCTGAAAGGGAGGGAAGGAAGCCCACCTCTCAGGTTTGGTTCCAGCATGGAAATGCCTCAGAAAAGTCTGAGCAGGCCGGAGCCACGCTGGTGCTAAGTTGCCTGAGAGGGGGGCTTCTGGGGAAACTGAGGCTCGGAAGGGTAAAGAGGTGGCACAAAGTCAGTGCTGTCCCCTTCTGGCCTCCAGACTGTGGGCCGTGGGGTCCCATCACATGGACTGCCCAGGACATGGCTGAGGGTCTAGGACCCTCCAGGGGTGAGGGCAGGACAGTTTAGCCCGTAGTAGGAGGCTTTGCCCCCGGCCCTTCAGCCTGGAGCCTCTTGCCTGGGCTGGGTTATGCAGACAGAGCAGTTCATGCTGAGGAGGGAGGGGCCTGGGGACCCGTCTGGGGCAGCCCTGTTTATATACATGGTCTGGCAGCTTCTCCAGGCCCTAGTTTCCCAGGCAACAGCCCCCAGAGATTCCCCCCTCCCCAGGGGTGCCAAGTGGGTGGGCACTTCTGCCCAGAGGCCTCCTCCCGGGGGCTGCTCCCCACCTGTCCTGCCTGGGGATCATTGACCAGGGGCACGCCTAGGAAGTCAATGGGGGAAGAAGGTTAGGGGGTGGGGATGCCTCCTCTGGGCTCGGACAGAACCTCCATTGTCTGAGGCTTCAGCCTTTGACCAAGCCTCACCCCTGCCTGTAGCCTGGAGGATGCTCCTCTTGGGGCCCTCCTCCCCCTTCCTGCTAGGGAAGCCCATTAAGTGGCCTGGCCTCTAGTGGGTGGGGAGCTGGCCTCCTGGTCCCTCTGGCGTTTGGAGACTGGGGAGGGGCAAGGAAGATGCTCCCCCCACTCACCCGTGCACTCACCCACCACTTGTTGCCCGGCATGTTACCCGGGGCGTACTCTGCGCTGGGGATCCTGTTTAGAACTAGCCCCGGCGGTCCTGCCTTGGCTCTCCTGGCTCACAGCCCAGGGACTCCCCGCTCAGGAGCTGCGTGGCCTGGGGAACATCCCTCAGACTCCGCCTCATCCGTTAGAGCAATTAAATTAACAGAATGAAACTGTTCAGCATGCTTGGTGCACGGCCATGGAGTGGCATCAGGAGGTGTCCGCTGTCATTTTGAAGACGATCATTTCATGACCTCAAGGGTGGTGAGGGTCACAAAGGACAGGGCCGGTAGTCTGGTGGGCCATCGGTCTGGACTCAGTGGGGCGGTCTGCAGAATGGGACGACTGTCCTCAAAGAGCAGCAGGAACTCCGGGCAGGGAACTAGCCTGTACTGAGACCCCACCAGCGGGGGGTCAGATGTCATTTCATTTACACTTGCACGTGACAGTTGAGGACAGGAGGCCCAGAGGGGGGATAGCTTCCTGCGGTCTCACATGTCTCTCACCCGGGCTCTGGGCTCTGGACGTGCGCGTCTTGCAGTAGCCCCTCAGTGTTTCCTTGGAGGAGGCACCTCGTCTCTCCAGGATTGTGTCCCGAGCCTCCAGCAGGTGGCCCCTAGCGCCCAGGGCAGAGCTGCAGGCATCCTGCCGCCCTGCACACGGTAGCTGCGGGTCCTCCTTCCTACCAGGCTCAGGGTCCACAGCTTGCATCCCCCTTCCCCCCCCACCTCTTCCCTTCTCCCCCTCGTCTCCCAGCTCTGGTCTTTTTGGACAGGGCAGAGGATACCTGAGGGGGCTGGGGTTCCGACCTGGGCCGTGCCCCTCTTTCCATCCGGCAGGAAGCCCACACCCACAGCTGCCCCAGGCCTGGGGACACGCCGGCCTTACAGGTTCCACAGCGAGGAGGTCCCAGGCTGGTGAAGCTTCTCAGCCTCTGGGCTTAACTCAGTGCCGTTCAGCAGCTGTTGTCCTGCGTGTGGGCTGGTGCTCTAGGCACGGAGATGGAAAGAAGTCAAAACCCCCGGGGGGGGGGGGTGCTGTTATAATAGGGGCTGCACGTGTCCCAGGATCACTGTGCCCTTTGAAAATAGACTTTCCCTGGCTGCATCCCTGAGCTGTCAGAGTCATGGGCTTGGAACGCATGTATTTTTTTTTTTTTTTTTAAAGCTTCACAGCCAGCTTTGGGAACCACTTCATGAAATGGGTCTGGAGGGGAGAAACTGGGTCTGGGTTTTGAAGGTTAAGTAGGAGTTGCTTGTTGGTTGTGAGCGGGAGTTCTACCCAGAAGGAACAAACAGCCTGAGCAAAAGGCCCAGGAATATAAAACAATTGGCAAGGTCATGGGCCTGA